CAGATTGAAGGGATTTGAAGCTTCAGTACATCTCTCGGTGGTGAATCCGCCATCGCTGCCGTGATATGGCAAGGGATTGGTCTCTGATCTAACAAATCTGTGCACAACGATCTCGAAAGACGCGAAGCAAATGATGCATATATGTGGTGGCGTCGCCGCCGGAGACAGACGAGAAAGGCAGCGAATGAGGGAAGTCATGCGAGGTGGTACGAGTAATGCGATGGTGGTGGTTAGGGTTATATATTCATCTTCATGCTTCTTCTTCTTCTAGTTTTTTTTTTTTTAGTTGATGATGATGATGATGAAACTAATTGCAGATTATAATTTTGGTTTTTGTTCTTGTGTTAAATAGATGAGTAGTGAAGGTTTTTTGTTAGCAACGTCAGGATTGATGTTGTTGGACAAGAATGTTTGATGATGATGTTTGATATTGTTTTGATGATGATGTTTTGATGTAAAAAAAGGACTAAATAGTTTATAAAAAAATATTCAGAATTAAATGGAGTAACATTTTCCAATATGGGATCTATGAGTAATTTTTTCAAATGAATAATATATTGAAAGGATCCTACCAGATGAAATGATCATACTATGGGACTCGTGTTGAATTGAACCCGCCAAGCCGAACAAGACGGTTAAGTTTAAATTAAATTTGAGACAAATATAACTTTATTTGAATAATATTCTTAAGATAAAAATAACTGAACCAACACTTGCATCCGGCCCAAATTGTTGGGGTGAAAAGAAAAAAAACCCACCGTCAGCCCCAACAATTTATCGTTTAAAAAAAAAAATCAAAGTGGAGATAAGTATTGATTACAACAACAACAACCAAAAAATAAATAAATAAATAAATAAAACAGTGGAGATAAGTATTTTGTATAATGATTACTTCATATGATTTGATTTTTAGCATTTGAAAAATAATTGATAGAATGTTGTTATGCATTGATTAATGTGAAAGTCGGTAGAATGCTGCAGAGGTAATGCTACATATTTTGATGTTGATCATCATCTTCGGAACAGTCTCCCTGTTGACTGGGTATCTAACCCACCTCCCGGGCTTGTGTCTTGTCTTGCTTCTGTTTAGTTTTATTTTGCTGTGCTGGTTTTCTGTTTGTTTTTGCTGTGTTGTTTTTCTGTATTGTCCTCTGTTCAAACAAAAAAAAAAAGAAAAGATATTGACAAGAATGCATATGCTCCATAATAAGCAATGTTCTAAATTATCCCAGATTTTTTTATTTTTTATTTGAACTCTTGATGTTTGGCAATGGAACAATCTTTTCATTGCACAAAGTCCACCCCTAAACATGTTAAAAATAAAAGATATAAGAATATATGTTTTTTATCAATGTATAACAATAATAAAATGGTTGGCATTTGATGATGTTGATCATGTGATTATGTACTTTGAAGAACTGTTATAATTTCAAGTGTTAGTGCCAAGAAATAGCCAATCTTGGGGCGAATTTCTTGTTCAGAATTATGAATAGCAAGTACATTGACTTGCCACAAGCCATTTTAGGCGTCGTTATTTGAATGAATCAAAAGAGTAAGGATCGCATGGGATCTCCCCGTCACAGCTTTTCTTGGGAGTACAGCATGGGTTACAGCACCTAATATTCAATTCATATTCTTTTTAAGCGATAAATTCAATGCTTCCCATCAATTTGGACCAAGACTAGGGCCTGTACTTGCTCTAGAAACATTGAATTATTTTTCACAAATAAAAATATAAAGATTTAAATTAAAAAACCACAAATCCGCCAATGGATCAAATATTCAAGGCACATTTATAGAAAGATTAAAAAAATTAAAAAACAAAGAAAAAGATTCAAGGCATGAACCCGTCCCTATAGTCATGTTTAAATAAGAAGTGGTATCAAGGAACAAAACCAAAACTAATGGCAAAAGAGAGTTGCAATTGAAAAAAATACATATAATTTGAAGAACACGAAGCATTAAAAATTAACATATATTCTTGCATTTTGTAGGTATGGCCACAAACAAGCTTCCGGATGACACAATATTCACTACTAACATAGATGGGTATACCTCAAAACTAGATTTCTTAAACATAAAACTAGCAAGCAATAAAATGAATTTGAAAGAAACCAAAAGTAGATAAGAACAAAACCCAGCAAATCTTAACCAGTCAACCCTAACTATTTAAGGTTGGTTCTGTAGATAGAAATTTGATCCAACACGGTCTTAGAGTCTAATGAGCAATGTGTCCAGCTTGATTAGGTTGCAATTCAAACTAATGCAAACAAAGAGTAACTACAAAATAACCTTTAGATAACGAAAAAAGGGGTCCAGGTAAAGAGGGGGTAGAATGAACACTTTACTATAGGAAACTAGTTGTGATGAAGCAATGTCATGAACATAGTCCTAGCAAACTGGATATTGTAGCAAGAACGAAATTTGAAGTCCAATGCAGCAGCCAACCAATGTATCAACACCATCACCATCTAATGTAATTAAGTTAGGTAACAACTAACAATATAGTGTAAGTTCGCATGAATTATGACTTATCTTGATGAATCAGACCAAATAAATCATATACATCAAATGCTTCGGTCCTCCACAATGACAAAAACTTGTAGTTCTTTAGTGATCTCCTGAGGCTAACATTAACTGCTGCATGTGAACATATTGTATCTTTAGCATTAGAGATATAGAATTTTCCTATTTAGAGTTTCCTATTTCGTTCTTTCCTATTGTGTTTAGTGCGTCTTTCTCCCTATTGGAACAATAGACATCCAGTCTTCTAATTGAGAGAGATTTTATGCAATACAATATACCTTTCTGTATCTAAACTTACATTGCAACATGGGAAAGTAGGTCCTATAATCAAAATCATATATTTAGGAGCTAAGTCAGAAACTGTTATACATAAGAATGAAGAAATATTCAAAATAAGGGAGCATATAAGGAAAAATAAATACCATTACAGGAGAGAGCGAAAGATGTGTAATTCTGGAATCAAAGGGAAAGGATGGTCAGTCCATACACCCTTATATAAAGACAAGCATGAAATGAGCCAATATGATTGTGTCTACATATCAAAACCGTCACTCAAAGCAACCTAGCATCGAGTCAAATCTATGAAACAAGAAAACAAGGTAAAATGAAGCAACCATCCATGGAAACAACATGTAACAAGGCAACTAGCCCGTCTAATGTCTTGTCATATTGCATATCAACGCAGCATGATGTCCAAGGTCCCACTGAATGATGAACAGTTCACCAGGGCAACAATGTCATTGACAACATAATAAGACATTCATCAGCAGTCCACTGGCATCAAAGCAACTAACTATCTGAGAATGAAATAGCTCCTACCACGAGGAAATATATTAAGGCAAAAATACTTATAACTATGACAGGATTACTTGCATATACTAAGACAAGACTGATAGTCAACGAAACGTAGCAGTCAAGAAATTTTTACATTCTCTAGACTTGTAAAATTTTTAAGTCCCACCAGATCAAATACCTGAATAATATGGTCCCATTAAAGTATAATACCATTTACTGAAACTACTACCTATCAAGAAAACATGATAGTCTAAGTTTATACCAAATTGTACACCGAGGCAAGATAATAGTTTCCATGTATCAAAGCAATCACCAAGTAAAGCAACCAGGCACTATGTCAAACTACCTATTAAGCAAGATGGTAGCCTGTAGCATGAATTACAGTGGCATAGCTTAACTGCGTGTAACTTGCTTCGCAGATTTACTACATATGGAAAGCAACACAGCATAATAGCATTGCCACATTAGGCAGTAACTGAATAATGCCAAACAGTAATGAAGCAGAAGCAACTATTTATTGAGGCACCAAGGAACATTTGGGAAACATGGCACTTTAAGGCTATTAGACCATATATCGAGTCATGAAGTAAGGCATTATACAACTTCCATGTATTAAGGCAGGTAACAAATAACACAAAATGATTGCAATGTACAGAGGCAAAATGATTTCCACATAATGTGTTAGCTCTCAAATAACAAAATATCGTATCAAAGTCAAACTACCTATGAAGGAAACACGGTGAATTTAAAGTATTACTGGACCGCCTATTAAAGAACACAGTGTCAAGTCTTCCAAAACATGTGTAGAGGCAGGAAAATAGTTCCCATTTGATAAAGAAACCGTGACCTTAAATGGGATTAAAAAAACCATTCATCTAGATACATGGCAATTTTAGAACATTAATACAACAGGGTCATGCAGGCTACGTTGGAGACAAAGTCCTAAAGACTTAACATCGAGGCAACATGAGAATGCTGAGATCCCACAAAATATAAAATATCCGTTCAAACTAATATTTATAAATAACAAAACATCATTGCAAGGGGACTATGATAATGTCATCTGTATTAAGGCAACATGAACATAGATTCAATTAAGGCAACTGTTATGGTTAATAGGATCACTTTTACATATGTATCAATTACCCGCCCAAACATGCCACAGAGGCAAATTCTAGCCATCCAAAAAGAGTGGTCGCTCCATATATAGAGCTTTAAGCTATAATGTAATCATCAGGGACGAGCCGCATTCAGGGAACTAAATATCGAAACAAATGATGGCATGAGATATTGATGTGCCCAACTGATCAAGGTAACATGGTAATCAATTAAAATCTACTAAACTAATTGAAGCAACATGAAATGAAAGGTAATAATCCACCAAAATAAAACTACCAAAAACCAATAAAGCCATGGATCAGTTCAAATATGAAGTATCCTGAGAATGTTCCAGTGATGAGTGGAGATCATATTTGAAGAATTATAACCGTCCCCCACATTCTATATTTTATTTTTTTATGTATTTATGGATGAGCATTTCTATCCAATGAGTGAAGTATTATAGTTATCATCAACCAATTAAATCTCATCAAAGAAGCTACCTATAAACCACGGCTCATTTAATAAGATTGAAACTCTCATAATTAGCAAGCTCCAAGAAGAACAGAATTATTAACCAAATCAAACAGAGATATGAATCTATGATGAACAAAGCATCATTACGAGGCCATTCGATATTCAATTCAACCTCCAACAATCAAAACAACAAGTTCATTCGTAGTAAGATCTTCATTATCTCTCATTCAAAACAGAACTAAACGAAATCCAAAATTCAACACATGAACGCTAAAGAAATTTACAAAGCAAATTACTCGTGGCGTTTATCGTTCAATCAAGCTTCGGGGGCAGATCGGTAGCGGTAGAGCTTGCCGAAGACGTGGAGGGCGGTGACGAAGCCGATGAAGCAGAGGCTCATGACGAGGACGACGGTGGGACTGATCTTGAGCCCGGGGGCGTCGTCTGTGTAGAACCTGAGAACGTTGCTTCCGCCACCTCCGCCTCCGCCTCCGCTGCTGAATCCGCCACTGCCGGCGGAGGAGCTGCCGAGGCGGCGGCGTCGCATGCCGGCAGTGGCGGCGGCGGTGCCGCGAGGGGCAATCCCGACGGGGCCGGGCCTGGATGTGGAGGAGGAGGATGCTTGGGACTGAGATGAGCCTCTCACCATTGTTGGACAGTGCGGAGAATGCGAGGGGGAGCGCAGAAATGTAGTAAGGAGAGAGAGATAGGAGTAAAAGTGTAATTATTGGGAACTTGAGGAGCTAATTAATACACTCTGTTTGTTATTTTATTTTTATTTTTGTTTTTCAGATTGTAGAATGTTAGTATTGTTACTAAAATTAGATTACAGGTGACGCTGTTACGCAATCACTTCGAATTTTTAAGGGTCTGTTTGGTAAGCGTTTTAAATTATAATTTCACTCATTGATTTAAGTGTATTATTTATTTTGAACTTTTAAATTGTAATTCTATATTTATTTTTTAAAATTCAATTCAAAACATAATCATTATTTTTCAAAACTCATAACTTCCCAAACGGTGCCAAAAGAGGCTTATTTAGCCACTAAAGGACAAAAGCTTCACAGCTGCTTGGCAAGTTCCAACGCTAAGCTAAATTTACGAAACTACCTCTCCCGAAAGAGGGGCATGCGGTAGCACACACAAAAAATTAGAAAAATAAAAAAAAATTCCCAAAAAACACATTTTTCCAGAAAAAACAAAGAAAGTTGAAAAAAAAAATCAAACACATTTTTTTGTTTTTTGTTTAAATATTTTATAAAAATAAATTTAAACTCTATTTTATAAAAATAGTTTTAAATATTTTAATTTTTTTTTGTTATGTATTTGATTATGATTTGAGTGTAGAGTTGTGAAAGTAATATGAAGTTTCAAATTATGTGTTTGGTTATGAGTTTTAAAAATAATTTATTACTTGAGTTTTATTTTATGTATTTGGTAACGATTTGAGTTTAGAGTTATTTTTAAATTTAAAATATTAACATTTTAAATTATTTAAATTTTTTGAATATTTAAATTATTTAAATTTTTTTGTTAAAATAATTTTTTGAATATTTAAAATATTTAAATTTTTACGATTTAAATTTTTTGAATATTTATTTTAATTTTTTACTTATTAAATTTTTTAGATTATTTAAATTATTTAAATATTTATGATTTAAATTTTTTAAATATTTATTTTGAAAAAAAATTATTTCCTTTGTAGTATTTTCAATTAAAAAATTGATTACTGTTATTTTCTATTAATAATAAATTTTTTTAATTGCATTTTAAAAGAGTTTGGTTATGAGTGTTAATCAGAATTTTCAATAGTGTGAAAGTAGTGTGTTTTGTTATGAGTTATAACAATTTAAATTAAGTTTTGAAAGCTCTTTTCAAAACTCATAACCAAACAAATTTTCTTATTTCACATGTCAAATCAAACTTTCAAAACTCAATTCTACACTCAATGCAAAACTCAATTCAACACTCTATTAAAAAATCATAACAAAACAAATTTTCTACACTGAAATCATAATTCCACAACTCACAAACTCAAAATATAACTCATACTCTCAAATCATATTTACAAAATTTTACCAAACGCAACCTAACTTTTTTCTTACTACACTCATGGCTACAAAATTAGTGAGTGGTGTTTTGTAAAAGGGAAAAAGTGAGACCTCCACGAGAGTGACCAATGATTTTTGATTGGTTCATTATTATTTTTTTTTTGTGTCCTCTTGTTGTTGCCCCTCACGTGTATGTAGGGGTGCTTGAGGTCACCCCTCACTGGGGTTTGGAGCATTACTCTTTGTAAGAAGGCGGAAGCAACACATAGACAATGAAGGAGATGGATTACGAAATCAAAAGGATAAACGGAAATGGAATACACAGAATTAAAAACAAAACATTAGATTAAAATATTAAAAACATTAGATTAAAAATATTAAATTAACTTACAATAGTAACAACTGCAAGATTACAGCACAAGATGTTGTTTTTCACTCAAAGCCCTTGGTTTTCAGAATATAGGTTTCTAAAATTTTCCAAGTCTACCGAATGAGTTCAACTTGATTACAATATATACAAAATAAAGAAAAGAAAAGCAACATTGAACTGATGAAAGCAGCTGGCAGCGCATGGGGCAAAGTAGATGCTGTCGGTTGCTTTCGGTTGATTGATTGAATAGTTGAGTAGCTTTAAACAAAAGTTGACTTGGTGAATAGTGATGGTGAACAGTAAAAGTGTACAGTAACTTTTACTATTCATCACTTTCGGTGGAACATGTGAATAATAGAATCAATATAAATACAAATTGGCAGTTTTTCTCAAAAGAGTATTGATTGAAGCTAATTTGTATCTATATGGAATCCAATGTTGATTAGGCAAATGGGTCCTGGGCATCTTGAAACTCGGGCCCTAAACATTGATTAGTTGATTCTTCAGAGGAGTGAGCATGTTCTGAACCTTCTTCTGAACTGTCTGAATCGGTGGATTGGGTTTTAGCTTGATTCAAAAGTTGATGGGCTAACTGGATCATATCTTCTTTGGATGACTTGGATTTACTCTTGGACTTGACTTTGGGCTGAGCAGGAGGTGAAATGGGCTTTGTCTTTACTTTGGACTTTGATTTGGGCTTTGACTGGGCTGGCTGGGCAGCAATAGCTTTAGATTTTGATTTGGGCTTGGAACCACTGGATGAGGGGCTTCCAAGGTTGACTGGAGGAAGACTGGGCTGACTTCCTTGAGAAATTGCAGCAGTTGGGTTCTGCCGGGCTTTAGCAAGAGCAGGAGTTGGAGCATATTGATCAGGTGGGAATTCTTCTTGAACAATTTCAAGAATTCTGGGCACATTGAACTTAACCCACCATTTGACTGTGTGTTGGCGAATGATGATGTTATCATTAATCCCATAGTGCCATTTGAATATCCATGGAATTTTGTATTTGGATATAAAAATTAGCAATAATGGAAATTATTGTTGGTGAGTAGTGAATGGGTAAACAGTGGCAAAATAATTAATTATTTTACTGAGATCAGTGGGGAGGATATCTGAAATGGCGCCATAGTAAGTCCACCATCTCAGAATCCAAGTAGGAATTTCAGATTTGAACTTTTGATCCAATGATATGAACCAAGAATGACTGAAATTTTCATTTTGGTATAAGAAAATCTTGAACCAGACATCAACGTAATCATGGTAATTATATTGAATGGAATGACCAGGTAAATCACGAAGCTGATTAGGATTTCCCCATTCAGCCATGGAAACAATGTTGTGAATATAAATTGAATGATATAGGATCTTGTAAGCATAGGTTCGATCCTGGATTGGTTTGATCAAAATTGAATGGTGATGGAGTAGAATGTCTTTGTAATAGGAAAGGGTTTTTTCTGGATGTGAAATGGTGAAATGGCATCCAGAGCCAAAATGGAATTTAGCAATTTCATTGATGGTTTGATTTTTTGGGTGACTGGGTTCTTTGTAGAACAGGTTAGTAACATGTGAATTGGTGTACTCAAATCGGGATGGTTTAATGGGGTTAACTGGGAATGGAGTAACTGAAACTGAATGGCTAGATGCAAAAGGATCAGAAGCCAATACAGATGAATAATCAGGACGATGAATGTTACCAAGAGTTTGGTAACGGTTAACCATTTCAAGTGAATGAGATTGGGTGATTGACTCCAAAGGAGGAGGAACAATAAGTTGATTAGGTTTACTGGAGGATGAAACCAAAGCCTTGGAGGGAGGCCTTGGACGAGACATCTGTTGAGAAAGAAATAATGGTTAGCAACCAGAAAGAAGATCTAAATAATCTTGATGACGATGTAAACAGTTGTAGTTGTGAGCAAGTAAATTGCGACGGACTTGAATTTGATGGTAATTGATATATTGGGCTCTTTTGGTGGTTGGTCGGGCTAATTTGAGGCGGTGAATACGATGGGTAAATTGTTTAATTTGGGCTTTGAAATAGGTAATTCGGGATTTATGGTAAGAAGTAAATGGTGCAGTCATTCCTTACCCCCCTGTAAAAATTCCCAGGTAAGAAAATCAGGTAGGGAATTTTGACAACCAGGTATATAAGTGATATCAAAATAAAAAATGCTTAAAATGGATTGCCAACGGGCAAAAATTTGTTTACTAGCAAGATTTTGAACATCTTTTTTCAAAACATATTTAGCAGATTTGCAATCAACACGAGGTAAAAATTTTTGATTTAAAATATCATCTTGAAATTTTTGAATACATAAGACAGTAGATAAAATTTCTTTTTTAATAGTACTATAATTTAATTGTGCTTTATTCCAGACACCAGAATGATAGCGAACAATTTGTTCAGATGATTGAGGAGTGACTTTCTGAAGAAGAATGCCACCATAACTAATATCGGAAACATCAGTTTGAATAATTTTGAATGAATTTTCAGTAGGAATACCAAGACAAGGAAAAGACTTAACATATTGTTTGACCTATTGAACAATAGAAGTATGAACAGAAGACCAAGGAGGAGGATTATCCTTTAACCTATCAAACAGAGGTTGACAAGTTTTTCTAAGGTCTTTGTAAAATTCAGCAATATAATTGAGGGAACCTAAAAACCGTTGCAATTGGGTTTTATCCAGAATTTCATCAGGGAATTTGGACGCAAACTCAATGGACCGACTAATGGGTAAAATAGTATTATGATGAATATCATAGCCTAAGAATCTAACTTTAGTTTGGAATAATTTAATTTTAGGAGCAGATATGACAAGACCATGACTTTTAATTGTGTAAAAGAAAGCAGTTAAGTGTTTCCAATATTCACTAATTGATTTTGAAAAAATTAATATATTATCAATGTAAACAATTGAAAAATGACTAAATTGATTGAATATGTCATTCATGATATGTTGAAATTCACGAGGAGCATTTTTTAATCCAAATGGCATGACATTCCATTCATATTGGCCAAAGGGTGTATTAAATGCAGTTTTATATCTATCTTTCGGATGAATTTGAATTTGCCAAAAATCACTTTTCAAATCAAAATTACTGAAAATAACAGCTTGACTAAATCTTTTAATCAAATCTTTTTTATTGAGAATAAGATATCGGATCCATTCTAGAACAGCATTTAAGGGTTTATAATTAATAACTAAGCGAGGGATACCTCTCTCTAATTCAGCATTTTTGTTAACATAAAAAGCAGGGCAAGACCATGGTGATTTACTTGGACTAATGA